CATATAAATATATCAATGATTTTTAGCAATGTCGAGCAAAAAGCTGCAGATACTAACATTGATGTTTTAAGCGGTAAAACATAATCACTAATAATTATATCGGTTGAAAACTCAGAAAAAACTTGCAGAGCACTCATCTTCTGACATCATTTACATAAAAAATATTCTTCCTATCATCGCAAATGAAGGAGACCTTTAGGTGACTACATTTGGGAGAACCACCCTCTATATTAATTAGTATTACATTGTCCCTCGTCAGTTGTTGTGCAATTTTTATTATACAATATCTACAGTACTAAACCTGGATAAGTCTAATTAAAAGGAATATGCTAAGCGAGTCCTCCGTGCGTTTTATTAGCGTACCAACACCCTTGCAATTTACCTGTCCATTCCGAATGGCCGATCGCCGCCTCGACTCCGGCGCCGGTCGTTACCGACGCTACGTAACCGTTCGCCGTTTTCGCCGCCGTTCGTTTCAATGATCCACGATACGATATCTCGTGATTATCCCGACGGCCGAGCCAGCTTACCTGCTCCATATTCGACCACGACCGTACGATCTTACCGTTGCCGGAGCCTGAAAACCGCGGCGCGCCGTCGACCACCGTTGAGATTCTCGACTCGTCGGTGTACAACGCGTACGCGTCTGTAAATCTCGCTGATTTCGGCGTTCTCGAGCTCTTTATTATCAATGCGGTCGAGCGTACCACCTTCGGACTCTTTTCAAGCGCAGTCATCCGCTGACGGACGACATTATCGATGTCGCGGCCGGCTAAATCCTCCGTTTCTATCACTATCTTTTGGCTGTACAACGTCGGCTGAGGTCGGTTCAGTGTGCTCTTTGGATATTTCATTTTGACTTTCGTACGGTTTGTGGTGGTGTTCGAGGTGGTGGTAGTGGTAGTGGTAGTGGTAGTAGTAGTAGTAGTAGAAGTAGTAGTAGTAGTAGTAGTAGTAGTAGTGGTGGTAGTGGTGATGGTGTTGTGGTGGGCTCTCGCATGCGTATCATTCTCGTCTACTGCTAAACGAACAGAAAGAAAAGGAAAAGACAAATCAACGGTCTAAAAAGCCAAAGAAGCAGCAATAAAGTCTTACGTGGGAATCTACAGGGTGTTCCAGAACTGCTGGTACATTTTTAATGGGAGGTTCCTGAGATGATTTTAAACAATATTTTCTTTTGTCAAAATGTTGTCTGAGGTGTGATTGTTGAGTTATTAACGAAAACCCCCGACCAATCAGAGCGCCCGTATAGCGGGCAACCAGGGGAGCGACTACCGCCTCGTATGCCACGCTTGTGACGAAAACGTAAGATTAAAACAAAAATGACATGCAAGAGCAACTAAGAAAGTGTTTAATATTACAGAAAACAAAGCAATTAGTCATTAATTACGTTCGCTGAATAAATGTAACATACTTAATGAAATAATTAATAACTTTATAAATTACAGAG